AAGTAAGAGGCTCACTTTCTAGTTTTCCTGGTGATGGCTAACCAATTAACTTTCCCTTAGAACATGCATTACATGAGAAAACATTAGATTGTGGTTTGTTGACTTTTCAATGAATGTTCACATGAATTCTCAATTATTTTTTGCATTATAATTGTTACGGGATGGTCTAACTAGTCATGTCAAACATTAAATTTGTTATCATTTGTAAACTGCTAGTTTATAATGATATGTACTTCAATTGTACTAATAATTATGTAGTACAAACCAAAAGAAAATGCAGGCAATCTTTCTAGTATGTATTTTTTTTAAAAGAGGTTGATTTTGTAATAGCAAGATATTCTTGATTTTTCTCAATTATTGTTTCGATATGGTATCTATTCTTGCAGATATCCTTGAAACTCAACAAATTTCTTTTAGACTTAGTTGAGTAAAATGCACTATCAATGTATAATATTGTTCCTCCAGATAATAATATATTAGCTCTTCTGTAGCCTTCAATCAGTTTTGCACTTCTAGATATAGTCTGAATGTTGGCTTCTTGCATTACCAAAGAAGAGAAATACTTTTTATTTCTAAGTATTGTATGAGTTGTTGCACTATCAATAAGACATAAATCTTCATGATTGACGTCAATAGGAACCATTTTTCGTTACAAGGAACATAGTTAAGAGAGGGGAAGGGAAGAAAACAAAATTAATAAAAGGAAAATACTCATAATTTTATTAATCTGGAAACATAACAACATTGAAAGTAGAAACTTTGTAAAAGAAGATGGGAAAAAAAACTAAGTCATAGAAATTTAACTTCACTAAAGATCAACTTTCCATTAGGATCAGCAAAGAAATCAGCAATATCCAAATAAGTGACATCCATCTTGCCATAATCAGAATCGCCCTCTGCATCAACAAAATTGGTTTCTACCCTTAGCATTATGCTATTGCCTTTACTTTTATTTCTAAGCGATTCTTGACAAAGGTCAACCCAATGTTTCGATATACGATAGGTACATGACTAATGATCATTTCCACCACAACGATAACACGAATCTTTAGAGTGGTTATTACTTCCACTAGTCTTTCTTTTGTGATTCTCATCATTCTTTACTCTCTTTGAGTAGGAATTTGAACTACCCCGATTACGACCACGACCACGTCCATGGTCAATGCGACGACCGCATGCACGTCCATGTCCTCGCCCCATGACTACGTGTTGGTCCATTTACTGCTACATTCGCTTATGGGAATGGAGTGGACTTGATTGGACGAGATTCATGATTTTTGATTAAAAACTCATTATTTTGCTCAGCTACAAGAAGGCAAGAAATTAGTTCAGAATACTTTTTAAAGCCTTTTTCATGATATTGCTGTTGCAGGAGTACATTGGATACATGAAATGTGGAGAATGTTTTCTCTAACATGTCTTCATCAGTGACTTTTTCTCCAAATAATTTTAGTTGAGAATTGATTCTAAATATCACAGAATTATACTCACTAACATATTTAAAATATGGTAGGCACAAGTACATTCATTCATAACGAGTTTTGGGAGAATGATAGTTTTCTAGTAGTCATACGTTTTTTTTTCAAATTGTTCCAAAGAACAAGTGGGTATTTAGTGGTCAAATATTCCATTTTTAGTCTTTCATGCAAATGATGGTATGAAAAGATCATGACTTTAGCCTTTTCTTAATTAGATGTCTTATTTTCTTCCTTAATTATGTCTCCCAAACCAGTGGCATTTAGGTAAATTTTCGCATCTAATATCCAAGATAAGTGGTTCTTCCCAATGATATTAAGAGCAATAACCTCAATTTTTGTAAGGTTTGACATGGTAACACTATCACAAAAGATAATATTAAAAAAAAATTGGCATGTATGCAAATTACAATGCTCTTTGTTAATAAGAAGAAAAAGAATCATAAATTACCAGAAGGAAACAAATGAAAAGAAAATTAAATGAGAAAGGGACAAAATTTGGTATATTGTCTCCATGGATATAAGCATTTAAAAAAAATAACAAATAAACAATAAATATTTCTCAAAAATAAATATATACATCACTTCTAGTCATTTAATGAGATAAAATCAAATTTGAATGACTTCTAGTCATGAATTAAAAATTATATGGCTTCTAGCCATATGTTAGAAAATCAAAATTATGACTTTTGGTTATTAAAATTGAAAAATTAAAGTTATAAGAAAGAAAAGTTTTTATGGCTTCTGGCCATAAAATAAAAAATAAAGTTTTATGGTTTTTGGTCATAAAATAAAAAAAGACTATAAGAAATGATAACAAAGTTTTTATAGTTTCTAGTCATAAAGTAGAAAATAAAGTTTTATGGCTTTTAGCCGTAAGAAAGAAAACAAATTTTTTATGACTTTTTGCTATAAAGTAGAAAATAAAGTTTTATGATTTCTGGACATAAAAAAGTATAACAAAGTTTTATAACTTTTGATCATAAAATAGAAAATAAAATTTTATGACTTCTAATTATAAAATAAAATAAGAAATAGATTCTACTCAATAATATCTCCAGTGATGCCGGAGAAGAACAAATCATGGGAGTGCTTAGTGCCGGTGGATCTGGCAAATCCACCCTCATTGAATCCCTCGCCAATCGCATCTCCAAAAAAGCCCCGTTACCTTAAACGGTGAGGCTTTCGAATTCGGACTTCTCAAGGTGATTTCCGCTTACGTCATGCAAGCTGACCTTCCCTTCCCCATGCTCACAGTGAACAATCTAAAATAGGGCTTCAAGGCATTTTGGATATATATTTAATGCCTCTTTAAAGCGATGATCGCCAAACATGGTGTACAATAATAGGAAGAAGATCAAAGTACTATATTTTTGTTAGAACACTCGTGCTAATAACGTTTTATAATTAAAGAAGAAGAATAGAAAAGATAAGAAAATTAATAAGAGTGAGTATTTCATATTCCATTGAAAAATACTCAATACATCATACATAACCTTTGTTTATAGGCACAGCTTTATATTTTTGATGGAATCTACAGAAAACATAATAATAAAAGATAATTGCAGATAACGGGAATAAGAAGAGATATTAAAAATATTGAGAGATAATGGAGATAATGATGGATATATGAATATCTATAAAGATATTATATTCATAACAATTTATTAATTATCTTATTTTATTTCTTCATAGTAAATAACACATGTATAAATTTGATATATTAAATACTTTTATTATAAAAATGGGAAAAATTATAATTATTGATGACGAAAAAACAATTATGCAAAAAGTAATACTTTGATCACAAACACCAAAAAAAAAACCCTTTTTTTTTTTCCTCTTTTGATAGTACAGTGAACTGAATGTCTTTCACCACGACCATATACGGTGACCAATAGATCTTCCTTGAGAATTAGTGGGGTTTCTATGACCTCACAACCATTAATTTCTATTTTCAATGGAGATAAATACGAGTTTTGGTCTATCAAGATGAAGACGCTCTTACCATCTCAAGACCTATGGGATTTGGTTGAAGACAACCAATGACGATTGAAGGAAACTAAGAAGCAAGATGCAAAGGCTTTATTTTTCCTCCTGCAAGTCATGTATGACAACCTTTTCCTTTTTCTAGAGTCGCTTCCGCAGCGACTTCTAACGAGGCATGACAGATTTTGAAAACTGAGTTTTAGCCCTCACAAAGTAAACTCTGTAAAACTACAGGCACTTCATCGTAAATTTGAGAATCTCTGTACATTAGAGTTTGGGAGATGAACAAAAGGAATCTGATCTTAACTCATCTTGGCGACTGCTTATAGGTTTAGATTCAGATCCAACATTACATCAGAAATTTTAAATTTTTAATCCAGCGTCTCCGGTAAAATATCATTACAGCTCAGATTTTATTTTTTTTAATCCCATTACAGAAAATTACATTTGTATTTTCATTTAATCCAGATCATAAGTGACCTTGCCATATCTTGCTTCATTTCTAGGTAATGTCATGCTTATATAAATTAATCTCCTGCAAGTAGAGGTTTCATATAAGTGTGACTTATCTGCTGCACGAGTGGGCAAAAATCATAACTAATATATTGAGTATGGACTGACTTCTATGGCTTTCACTTAACTAGAAATTAAAGCAAACTAACCAGCACGTTGTTCATTGCACACTCATAGGATAGAACTTGAATCAATTATCCATGCATGTGCAGGCAATTATAGTTGTTCTGATTGTTTAATCAACTTGGCAGGATTTGTTATATTGACAAAGCAGGTAAGGATTCAAATTGACTAGAATAATTGAACAAAATGCATGGGTTTAGGACTATTTTATTTTCAATTATTGTGGTAATTTGGTAGGAGGAAAAGGTTATCTTCTGACTTTAGTTTCTCATATTAAACTTTAGTTAGTTGTTGGGATTAGTTATAAAGTTTTCATGATCATTATTTAATTATCAACCTAATGACAATTGCAAGGCTGGCAGATATGATTAAGATTCAAACTTTGAATCCCATGGGTGGCACAAAAGTGGGTTTGCTGAACATACTAAATATTATGTTTTACTCATCCTCCTTTGTCCTTCGTTTTGTTTGCTTTCTCTCTTAGAAATGAAATAGAATTTATTTGAAGCAGAAACCTAGCAATAGGGTGGTTAATTGGTAGATTAAATGAGACAACAGAATAATCCTCTACTGTTCCTTTTCATTTGCTTTAAGAAGCAGGTTGACCAAGAAAATTGAGATTATTCTCCTTTCTAACTCAAATTAATCCCAAGATTTTTTCCCCCCTCACTAACAGGGGACAAAAATTCGAGAACCTATTATAGGTTCTATCTGTGTACGTTCTGATCGCCGACCAATATTAGGTCCATTTGAAAAACTGACATTGGCAAAGCTGGAAAGAAGAAAAACATATATTCAGCAAAAGGAAAGTATCATTAATCACATTTATGTACAAGTGTGAGACACTCATGGGGAAAATTGAATTTGAGTGTCCAAGATTATCCTAAATATTTTGTGTAACTAGTTGTTGAAGATGTTGAGAAGAGAAACTCTAGTTCTAATAAGTTTTCTTGAAAGGCATTCAACTCCTCTTTCTAGATCTTGAATGCACATCTCCAAATTTTCCAAATCGCCTTGAAGATTGTTTTGACTGACGAGGGATTTCAAAGCTTCATCTACCTTCTCCAATTCATTTGTGCCAATTTCTTGAGAGTCACAAGAAACTCTTTTTGGCTGCATCAGCTTGGAGATTGCTGACCATCTGTTCTGTTTTAAGTGTCCCTTTGTACCAGAAATGAAGCACACCAAAGATTCTAATGTGCTCATGGTGACTGCTTCTGCTTCATTTAGCATGCTAAGCATGTCATTTTCTTTGTTTGGAGAAGAAACTATGAGATCCATTTTTCTTCCTCTGAAACTTCCCAAGACCTTACAAATTGCCTTCTTCATCTTCTTCCTAGAAGCCAAGTATTCGCCAACCGCAATCGCAAGTCCATTTTTTGAACCTCTCCTTCTACGGATGACTGACTGAAGCTCTTGCAAGCTTTCCTTTGATTGAAGCAGGAAATCTTTGGCTATGCTACATACATCCAAGAGCCTTGCAGATCCATCAAGTAGTTCATCAAAGGTTTTGCTGCTGAACTCTCTTGCAAAGTCTTGTTGGGTGGTTGGTAATTGAAGAACCTTATCAATGCAATCATGTAAATCCTGTAAGCCACTGAGTTTGTGGCTTTGAGATGAAGAAGAGGAAGAAGAGGCAGATTCAGAAGATTTCAATCGGCTAAGATGCTCCTCAAATTGTGATACAAGAGGGTGGGGTGCAGAGGGCAAGCTGTTAGATCTTATATGTAAAGAGCTCTTTAAGCTTGAATCAGAGGATGCCATTTTATCTTCTCAGAAAATAGAGGCTACAAGATGATGAATATACGGTTTGTTCTGATCTCTTGTGTGTTTCAGCGGTAGGCATCTTCTCCTTATATATCCAAGGATAAGATGGAGACAAAAAGAATATTTTTCTTTTTCAAATGTCCCAAAGTGAGCATGCAATGATATCTTCTTGATATGATTCTTAGAGTTGCTTTTACGTTGTTTGCCCAATGCTTCCCATGCCCCAGATTGGCCAACTCATTACTTAGTTTTTGATACGGGAATCACAATAATGCATATGCAATTGGAGTGGGCATCAAAATTTGGTCTTCTGTCTGTGGGAAGAGTTGTTTCTATCGTAATATAATCTGTGTTCTATGAACTTGTATGCCTGGAAGATACATACAGCTGTAGTTTACAGGAAATAGGAATCAAACATTGGTGAAATATGGATGGCTATGTTATGCAGTTGTCTCAATTCATTGTTCATTAATTAAGGAGCAATGAATCCATAAGATGAGTTGAATGAATAATTAAAAAGACAAGCCAGAAGTTGGCTCTGTTAGGTACTCTGTTTCAGTGGACGCTCCCCTGATGAGATATAATCATTTTAATATAGAGATAAGGCAATAAAAAAATCATAAAAAGATGTCAACTTGAAAACTGAAGATGTCCCAATTCTGTTATTTCGAAGGTAATGAGACGGATAATCAGAGGATGAGGTGTTAATGTTGGAGCCATTCTGCCATTCATCCATCTCATAATTCTATTCCAAAAACATATTAGCTTTATCAAATGCGGCTGCTTATGACTACCACAAGTCCAATGCCAAATTTTGCTGATTCCAAGGTAAAAACTGAAATTCATGATGATTAAAGAGTGAGTGAATTAAGAAGCCAGCTTCGTCTGATGAAGATGACAATGAATCAGTAAACTATCTTCAGAGACTATGAAGAGGCAACTTGAAGATACCTTGAGAGAGGTCACAAAATTGATGCTAGGATGCTAATTTGAGAGTATATACTTGGCTGTAAAAATAAGCCAAGTGGGAGAGGACATTCATATTTTGCAACCTATAGAGTCCTCGTATTCCTTTTCATTCTATTTTTTCTCTTTCGTTGGGATTTTACTGCTTTCTGTTGCTCAATGAATGTAGGTCTGATCTTCAAATAATCTCCGAAATGTCAATACAATGTCTTTATAGGAACATCCAACTCAGATCTCATATTTTTATTCAACCCCACGTTTGCAATAATCATACCTTTATGTCCCTTAACGTAGGACGTCGGTAGTTGACCAAAGAAAATAACTAGTTACTTATAGGTTTGTCCTTGTACTTTCAAATAACCACCACGTTGTTTATTGCACTTATAGCTAATAAAAATATGGGATAATTACTCTTAAATGTGAAAGCAATAAAATATTGTCCGGTTGCTTTCATTTGAGTTGGCTTGAAAGATAGAAGCACGTGTCGGTTTTAATAAAAACTATGGCTGCCAATTATTTTCTTCGACTAATGCTCTTGCTAAACCTTTATGATTTTACTGTCTGAGTTTGTGACAGAAATAAAACCATGTCTGTAAAGTAAAACCAGATATGGAATAATGTTATATTTTCAGACTGAATAAATGAAGACATAGTGTCTTCTTCCTAATTCCCATTTCCCAAAATTGTGCTGAATTTCCAGGTTATAATAATTATTCTCATATTCTTAAACGGAGAACAAAAGCAGTGAAAAACTGAGATTTTTTTTTTTTGGAGGTTAGAAAGAAGATGGATGACCAAATAACAATGGTGTGATCCTGAGTTAATATATATTCAGTAATAAAATAGCATTTTTATCAGTAAAAGAACTGTATCATTAATCCCATTCATGTACAAGTATGAAACACTCCTGGGAGAAAATTGAATTTGAGTGTCCAAGGTTATCCTAAATAATATGTGTAACTAGTTGTTGAAGATGTTGAGCAGGGAAACTCTGTTTCTGATAAGTTTCCTTGAAAGGCATTCAATTCCTATTTCTAGATCTTGAATGCACGTCTCCAAATTTTCCAAATCGCCTTGAAAATTGTTCGTGGATGCATGCTTTTGACTGATGAGAGACTTTAGAGCTGAATCTACCTTCTCAAATTCATTTATGATTATTTCTTGCGAGTCACAAGCTACTCTTTTTGGCTTCATCAACTTCGAAATTGCAGACCAGCTGGTTTGTTTTGATTGTCCCTTTGGATTGGAGATGAAGTACAACAAAGATTCTAATGTGCTCACGGTGATTGCTTCTGCTTCTTTCAACATGCTAAGCATCTCATTTTCTTTGGCTTCAGAAGAAACTGTAAACTGATTTCTTATTCCTTTGAGATTCCCTAAGGCATTTCTAATTGCTTTCTTCACATTCTTCCTGGAAGCCAAATAATTTCCAACCGCAGTAGTGAATGCAGCTTCAGCTCCTCTTCTTCTAACTACTGACTGAACTTCGCGTACAGACTCCTTTGACTGCACAAGACAATCTTTAGCAGTACAACAGATATCCAAGAGCCTTAGAGACCCATCTAGTAGTTCATCAACCCATTTTTGACTTAAATCTCGTGCTAAGACCTCTTGGGTGGTTGACAATTGAAGAAACTTGTCAGAAGAGTCCTGTAAATCCTGCAAGCCACTGAGTTTGTGGCTTAAAGAGGATGAAGAAGAGGCAGAATCAGAAGACTTTAATCTGTTCAGGTGCTCCTCAAATTGTGATACAAAGGGGTGAGGTGCAGAGGGAAAGCTATTAGAGCGTATATGAGAAATGGCTGCCATTTTCTTTTATTAGAAGACTTGGAAATGAGAAATGTAATTTCTTCTAAACTTGTGAGTTTCAAAGTTGAGCATCTTCTTCTTTTATAGCCAAAGAATAGAGGGAGACAAGAAGAATATTTTTCTCTCCACATGTGGGCATGACGTAATATCATATTAACATGATTCTCTGTACTTTCATTGGCATTGTTTGTTCAGTGCCTCCCTCACAGCAAACCTACTAACTCATTCATCAGTTTTTGGGTGGGGAATCACAAGAATCCACGTGCCGCAGATTCAAATTCCTTGGCAGTGTCTCCTCCATCTCAACTAGAAATGTGATTTCCAACTAGGCATACCATGGGCATGAGCATCATATATGGATCTCATGTCTGTGGGAGGGGTTGTTTCTATGAGTAAATAATGTGTATTCAAAGAATTTGAATGCGTAGCAGTGCCAACAACTATGGCTTTAAAGAAAATGGGAATCTCTCCATCTTCAAAGATTATGGTCATATATGGATGGCGATGTTTATGGAGGTTTCCTAATTCAATGTCCTTTAATTAAAATAGATGGTCATAAACAGGAAGCTGGCACTGATGTATTTGCAGTACTGGGATGGAACATAATCACATAAAAAAATGATAAATAAATAAAAACAGATAAATCTCATAAAAGAGTGTATATTACTGAAAATGGAAAAGTTCCGGTATTGTTTATTATGTTGCCAGTAAGAAGAGAGACAAATTATGACATGCCAACATGACTGGCCGTCTTCATCTTATGGCTTTATTAAAGGGGAAAAAAATCGGGTGGGGGTTGAGGATGGAGGAAAAATACACAAGCACTAAAAAGAGCAATGGAAAGATCAAACTTCATGTGACAGATGCCATGAGATGGAAGAGAGATTGCAAGAAGAAACCAATGCATACCCTGGACCTTCACTCATTTTCAAGTTTCTAACGGCATGCCAGAAAGGGCTGTAAGTGTAACTGCTTTTGCTTCATGTCCAGATTTTAAGATTCTTCAGCCTTTCAAGAACTATTTCTATTTCTCTGCTTTGGGTTCTAATAATCATCCACTCATAGATTTAAGTTTAGTGTTTTGTAATAATGGAGAAAACTAGAGACTTTTCAGCACCGCCAAAATTTGGAATTTTTCCTCATTCCCTGGAGCAATGTGAATTAGTTAACACATCATGGCAGATTCTAAGGTTTCAAGTTTACAGAAGATATTATGAGTTTAGAAACCACACACAGACATACATGTCAGAGAAGAAGGAGGCTCATTACAATGATTAGGCATTCAGAATGCCAAAAAGCTTATGGTCACTAGAATAATAGATTAGCTCTAAAAGTCAGCACCAATATGTGAAGCTAGGTGCTGGAGATGAATGCTTTTATGGAACAAGGGACATGGGAGGAGCATCTAATTGGGTGGAAAATGAGGATACGATGCTAGAGTCCTCCATGCGTTCTGAGCATTCCGCATTGGAGAGAATTATTCTGCAATATTGTGTGGAGAAGCTTTTATCTGAGGATTGCGCAAAAACTCCTGACCTAATTGTATTCCTATTTAAGCCAATTAAAGGACCATTCTTGAAAAATGTAGAGGTCCAGAGAAGTACTCAAAGGAGTAGACTGCACGAAGTTAGTAGTCATATTGAGTGGTATGAGATGCCCAATGGAACCCTATCCCAAAAGCTAACTATTGAGGTAGCTAGGAGAAAATGGAAAACCATGAAGACATTTACAGAGCCTTCTGATGGCTCCTACACATCTTAAGGCTTCATTGTACCCAGTAGAAGAGATTGATAGCTTAAACAAGCATGATGAGTAAACCAAGCTAGGCAAGTGGATATGGAAATTTCCACTTGATATCATGTTATATAAAATGGAGTTAGCTCCTGACCTGCACTGTTTTTCACTGGAGGTCGTTGCTGTTTCTATTGTGTTTTCCAGTG